AGTCTCGTCTCGCTTTCCGTCCGGTAGAACGATAGTAGTTCCGAGGCAGTACGGCAATGTGAAAACATAAAGACACAGCATAACCTGCATATTTGCAATCAAAATCTTAGACATATTGTTCGTCGGATGCGTGCCGTGCCCTCTATCTCGAATTTTCACGTCTATTCTGTCTAGTTGCTTCTGAGCAAAATTAAATTGTGGTGTATGAACACGTGGTCAATAAGCAAAAAAAGAGCCTGAGTCGTTGATAAATATATTTTCTGATCGTCTTACCGAATAGATATAAAATTTCAGATAAGCCTGAACCGTCAAGATACGGAATCAACAATGCAACGTTGGTAAGCTCACCTCCTGATACAAAACATTGTTCGGAACAAACTTTGGGTGCCCTACGCATAGTCGCAGAACCTCACGCTCCCAAACAATGAAAAGCTTAAGCTTATAAGCTGGGCCACCTGAGAATAACACACATCCAAATTCTAGCATGGGACGCATATGCATTTTGTAAATCATAATCCGAGTGTCCCTACGTAAAGCATATCGTGTGCTAGTCAATCTGCGAATCATGTCTAAGGCACGTTGTGCCTTATATTCCATACTCTCTGTGTGAAGAGTTAAGTTTGATTTATCATTAAAAATTATTCCCAAATATTTAAGTGCCTCAACTTGCAGAATAGGCTTTGCTTTGAAACAAATATTATTTGAGATGGGATCTGTTTACGGAAATATCAACATTGCACTTTTGTTTACATTTAGTGACACGTATATTGTTTCTAGCCATTCCTGAAGCAAATTCATATACCTCTGCAGTTTTGGTTAAAAGGAATGAATGTCAATGTCTGCTGCAAAGAAGGCAATATCATCAGCATACACATATACATGCACATCCTGGCTGTAAGGGATTGAACTCATTAAGATGTTGAACATTGAAGACAAGACAGCCCCTTGGGGAACTCCGCGAGTTTGAATTTTGTCGAAGCGATGCCATTTTTAAAGCTATAAAACTCTCGAACAGCAAGCGACCTTCATCCTCTTCGTCGGGCGCACACGCACATTGTCAATATGCATTGCGGCAGCCTACAAGTAGCAATATGATTATGAGTCTTACGGTAGTGGGCAAATTTAGATTGATTCTGTCTTCTTGGGATTAAAATGAATGGCAATATAGCCTCGCAGGAAACAAGATTGCAAGTAGAAATGTTTGGTCTGACACCTCGCCTTTACAAAATTTATTATTTTCAAGCTTCCATTTATTAAGGGTCAGTTTGATTCCCTTGCACGAATGCAAACTGGTTCAGGGCTGTGCACAAGAAGTTAAGAGCTCGTGCAGCACGAGTTAGGCAGGGCGACATCCCAAGCATTAGACAAGGTGCCTATAAGGTGGAAGCCCTAATTGTGTTCACCTAATTTATTTAGGTGTCAACATCTTGGCAAAACATGCCGCGTTTGTAGAGGTGTGTATGCCAACTATTATTACTATATCGTCTATTGAGCCGTGCGTGGGGCTGCACATAACCAGCGTCGTCACTGTACAGCACTAAAACAACTTCATGATTTTTTTTTGTACTCCCCTACCGTAAAATCATGAACTTGTTTTAGGGCTGTACCTCTCCTGCACTTTTTCAAACGGATGACACGATTCAGGAGCCGCCACTGCTGCACCACTGAAACAAACGGCGAGGTGTAGCACTTTGTTGAGTGGATCTTGTGGTGCAGGTGAATCGAACAAAGCCTTGAGCACACGAGCGTTTTTACATTTCACCTCCATCAAAATATGGCCACTGTCGCTGTGGTCAAACCTGTGTGTTGTAGAGCTCAGCAGTGCCACACAATATATTTTATTAATTTATTTATTTATAAAGTACTGCAAGCCATAGAAATGACCGAAGCAGGAGTGGGAGGTGGTGGAATATTAATTTTATGACCAATTATTAGATATACAGTTGTAGAGAAAGCAGAAAAAACAAAGAAAACAACAACAACAACTAATGTATACAGAGGTAGTGTTCCAGTTTCGACGTTATTTAAGTTTAGATTCCATGCCACAGTAGAAAGCCAATGATTGTGGCCAATCTAAAGCACCCCTCTAGGATATGTGGGGTAAAACATTCACACAGCATGGCAAGTGTGATGATTCAGATGACCTGATGGAGCGGACTTTCATATGTATCAACACGCTTACGGAGTAGATAGTTGGGGGTAGCCATCTGTCATTGCGTGGCAGTCTGCAAAAACAAATAACATCACCAGATATTGATAAGCCTAATCAATGCACAAAATTTTCCAAACCAAAAATTGAACTTAAATACCCAGTATACAGCTGTATTTTATTTACATATATAATGGTATTTCATAACACATGTATCATTCGGGGCTGCTTCTTCACAAGGAATTCCATGTAGCAGGTACCTTGCCCATTGTACACAGGTGCTTTCATGTTATGTAGGCGAGCGGCTGTGCCAAAAAAAGTAGTATTTCCAAATTTTGTGACGCTTTCTTTGTCACGTTAAAGCGAAAGCACACTAATAAATATTTCATGCTTGTTTAAGTGCGACTGCGGTAAACTATCAACTCGTAGGGTTTTTGCACCATCATATGTGCTAGCTATGAAGACACATGTGAGGCGATAGTGATGTATTTGCCTTTTTTATCGCAACAGCTTCGTTTGTGTGACCTAGTGATGAAAATGAAGAATTCACTTATAATTCAGCGACTCGCTCTTAAGTGAAGCCACGCCGCAAGTACCAAAGGTATTTCCGGTGACATATTGTCACGTGACAATATTATGACACGTCTAAAATTTTACAAACCTAATGTTGCAATGCGCTGCCACCGTATGATGCCTACACCGTTATTGGCAAAAGAGACTACATTTGTTTATTGAACCAACTAGCCCAGCAAGCAACCGTCATTAAAGAACAGAAATGGTTTTTACTAACCAGCCCATAATTATTAGGGTTCATACGACGAAAGCCTAAACGGTCGCTTTGTTCCCCCGATGACACTTGAAGGCGCTTCGTGGCCCCACTGTGGTGGTCTAGTGGCTAAGGTACTCGGCTGCTGACCCGCACGTCGCGGGTTCCAATCCCGGCTGCGGCGGCTGCATTTCCGATGGAGGCGGAAATGTTGTAGGCCCGTGTGCTCAGATTTGGGTGCACGTTAAAGAACCCCAGGTGGTCGCAATTTCCGGAGCCCTCCACTACGGCGTCTCTCATAATCATATGGTGGCTTTGGGACGTTAAACCCTACTTATCAATCAATCAAGGCGCTTCGTGGGAGCATTTGAACGAGTCAAAATAAACAAAACGGCAGTGCTGCGTCGTAGGTTTTCACCCAGCGCATGCTCCGATTTCCGAATGAGACATGTCAAGTGCACACATAAAAAGAAGCGTTTATTGATCGTAGAATCTGGCTTTTGTGGCCAGAAAAGAAGAGGGGGAAAAAGCATTGCTTTTCCCACGTGCGACTAGCTTTACCACGATGAGTGACAATCGCAGCCAGATAAAATTCGTTGCTGCATTTTTCTTCCCTTTAGATTGTGAGACGCTGTGGTGGTTTCCATTGACACTTTGAACGACGTAGCGGTACTTCGCCCATAGAGAAACATACTTACATAAAGAGCCGACACTCCCGTAGGGCCCTGTGGCCCAGCTACTGCGCTCCTTTCAGCGCCACAAGTGGCTGGTAAGACCCGATAATAACTTCAGCATAAATAAAATAAGAAAAACTATCTTTCCAATGCTGGAGTTCAAACTCGTGCCCTCATGCTCCGAAGGCGAGTGTCTTTACCACTAGGCTACACATGCATGCTTCCACAAAGGGAATACATGTAGAGTACATCTAAACCACATGAACGTGCCTCTTCGTGCGAAACAAATGCAGAAAGGCAACACTTTATAGTCACACTTTACAGTTTTTGTTGTAAGGCATTAAATATCATCAGCGGGACAAGATGTAGAGCATATATTAAAACTAGCACAAAGTAAAAAAATTTCTTTTTTCAAAAAAAATTGATGCCAAACTTGCGTATTGGATGTCCTCTTGAAGAGGCTGTTACATGTCTTAACAAAAGAGTAAAAGAGAAGATGGTTACGCCACCTAACGGTTAATCAGGTTCCCTCTGGCTGGGCCTCAAAAACGCCCCAGTGGCCACTTTTTATATAGTATATTTTTTATGTTTCAGTAGCATACGCTGTAGGGTGTCTAGCGTCGGTCCCTGGACAGGTGGTCGTACTGGAGATACCACTTGCTTTGAAGATGGTTCTGTCTTCCTTGTTTTCTGCTTCACACTGCACCGGGCTCGACAGGGCCGAGCGCACCTGATCAACGTGTCACCTGTTACGAAGCACGACGTCAACACTGTCCCGAAGACGCCACTGCTACAAAACTCGCCGTCAAGGTCACCAGCCGTTTGGCAGCGTATGTTTCTCAGCTGGCAACTGCTTCTGCGCCGAGCTGATAGTCGAGCGGACAAGACGATAGTGAGTTAGGGCGAGGTTTGTGTACAACATTTAAATAGAGGTGTTTCATATTCGGCACTGGCACTGACAGCTTAGTGACGTGAAGAGCCGAGATGTCTTCTCTGATGCCTACGTCAGCTTTTTTCTGACGCATAGGTCGGGTGCTTGGTGAAGCGCCGCGTTGTTCTTTATAGGCCCCAGGTGATCCTTTACGTCATCAACGTCCAGTCAGAACTGCCGCTGCGTCGCGTCGCAATCCTCCAATGGAGATACGCCACTTGGTTGCGTCATGATCCTCAAATTCGCAGCCGCTGCGCTGGGTTGCACACAAGGACGAGTGATGTTGCCACGCATTGCGTAAGACTCGCCAGACTGGATGGTGCCGCTTGCTCTCGGGCCCGCGGACTGAGAGAGCTTGCCGTGCATTGGGTAAGATAGACCGGCGCCGCCACATGATGACGTCGTTGAGCAGATGGCGTCAGGTGGGCTCGCTCTTTTGCCTTGACACAGATGCAAAGGCAATGACGTTCGGTCTGTACTCTAAGGCGTAACAGCACCCCCGCGTCCAGACATGCGCCGGAAAGACGAGCTGCTTCCTCGTGGCTGGGATGTCGGGCGCGCTTGTTCGCCAGGTCCCCCAAGGTTCACCTCCAGGGCCAGGGGAAAGATGTGGCTCCAGGCTGTGTTCCGCGAACACATCCGATTCACTAGGGTGGATCCAAGCTCACTGGCTTGTCGCCAAAATTTGTCGACTAGCTTCAGTCGTCTCTTCTGACGATTTTTGGTCTCAGTACTTGTCATTTGTTCTGCAGCTTGTCAAGAACGGTTCGACAACAGCCAACACATAACACAAGCAAGTGCCCTCGGTGACCCGACAGAACACCACACAAAGTATGTACCGCATATACCTAGCTACGCGTCTTTCGGAATATCGTTGCCTCCACATCAAGAGGTACATGTGGTACCAAAAACATTTATTATTAGAACTCAAATTTTTACACTACAACAACGTAATGAAATAGAATGCAACATAATGTTGGCCTCTGAGATCTTTGTGGACGAGAGCACTCAAATAAGGCCGTGATGAGAACAAAATTTTCTCCGAACCACCAGCGAATGACCGAAAGTGAAGGTACTAACTAAAACGCACTGCTAGATGCGTCTGCATTAGTATTAGATTTGATTTCTTGTAGCGAACGTCTTAGTTGTGCTGTTAAAGTATCATGCTCCCCTTCAGTAACCAGCCACGTTTAGACGACATGTTATATAACTGGTGGACTTGGAGGCATCGACCAGGCAGCGATGCTTATTCCTGCTCCTTTTTGTTGTGCCGATCGCGCTGTGGCCTAAATGCCTCTTGGCCGGGCTACCTACGCTTTTGCACGCAAATGGATCGACGCCAGTGATCAACGTAGAGAAAACATCATGGACCGAACCCATTCAAGTTTCGACCAGCTTATGCGCACCTCAACAGCGCAACTATCATGTCACAGACGCGACAGCACTGACGCCAGCAAGCTGTAGACAGCATGAAATCCCAGCCCATGATCCAAGGTGCTTCAGTGGACTCTGCGGCACCGACCAGGCAGCGATGCTTATTCCTGCTCCTTTTGTGGCGCCGATCGCGCTGTGGCCTCAGTGCCTCTTGGCCGGGCTACCTACGCATTTGCACGCAAATGATCGACGCCAGTGAAAAACGTAGAAAGAACAACATGGACCGAATCCATTCAAGTACCGACCAGCTCCTCCGCACCTCAATAGCACAACTACTACGTCACAGACGTGACACCACTGACGCCAGCAAGCTGTAGACAACATAAAAGCCCAGCCCATGACCCAAGGCACTTCAGGGGACTTGGCGGCATCGACCAGGCAGCGGTGCTTATTCCTGCTCTTTTTGTTGTGCAGGTTAGTGACGATTACGCTGTTACCTCAGTAAGAGATGACGATGTAACCCTTATGGCGCTGCCGAGTCTACGCTTCCTTGTTTCATTGATTGCTGATTGCTATCATGTGTGTAAACTTCTGTTACTAACATCGGGTGACGTTGGGCTTAATCCTTGTCCGAATTCTGATTCGGAATGCGATACCCGCCCTAACACTGATATTTAAAAGAAATACTCAAAAATCAAACTAAAAAAAATAAAATGCTAGAGGAAGTAATGGCCAACATAAAGAAGGTAGCAGGAACTGTCGATAATATGGAAACCAGGCTTGCTTAAATAGAACAATGTGAAACGACCTAAACACTGTGAAAAGGGATTGGTCGAGTATGAAAGTAACTACGACACCACGAAAGGGGAAATTTAAAGCATTGCACTGAAACTAGATGATTCAGAAAATTGAAGTGGACGCAATACCTTGGTCATTTATGGTGTTACGGAAGAGCTTAACGAAGATGCCATCTTACTAGAACAGAAAGTGAAAGATGACGTTCGAGAACAGATACTTGGCGTCAAAAAACCATCGAAACGATTCATAGGATAGGCACCCGTAAAACCGACAAACAAAGACCAATCATACTACGTTTGTATCACTACAGCAAAGAAAATCCTGTCTATTTGTTACAAACTCAAGGGTACGCTCCTATCTAGGTCTGAGGATTTTTTCTAAAAGAGTAAGAGACATGCGCATGCACTTATGGCACTCAGCAGCCAGCGAAAGGGCTAAAAGAGCAAAAGGTAAACTACTGTTCAATAAACTGAAAGTCGATTGCAAGGTTTATAATGGAGACCCGGTAAAGAATGCTAGAACAGACATATCGCAGCAAGCAGGCCAACCGCGAAACAACTCGTCAACTTCAACTACGCATAAAAAGTCCACAAATGAGAAGAAATTGATTTGACAACCTAGTACTAAAACACTTATAATTCTTTCCTTCAACGCCAGAAGTCTGTAAAACAAGCTTGAATTATTAGAGATACTCACCCTATCCTACCAACCTCACGTTCTAATAATAACATAAGCTTGGCTTCACCCTGGAGTACATGACTCAGAAATTGTCCCTTCTGCATACAGATTGTTCCATGGGGACAGAGAGTCGAGAGACGGTGGCGTAGCGGTAGATATTAAAGAGAATATAAGATTTTTAGACTTCGATGGCATTCCTGACCACGAAAGCATCTGGTGCAAGTTAACATATTAAAACAAAAGTATAACCACAGGAGGGATATATTGGCCGCTAAATGCGGCACTTGACTACATCTAAATTATTCATGCTCATCTTTTAAAGCATACAAGCTCCAAGTCAAAAATAATTCTTGCCGGAGACTTTAATCTTCCCGGAATAAATTGTAGCAACAATTCACATGATGGTCCTGACGTCACGAGTTCAGAATTGCTTCTTGACGTGGCTTTCACGTATCAACTAGTGAATCAACTAGTGACCTATGAATCAACTGAATCAACTAGTAACCTATAACACTCCGATCGCTTCAACATCATCGTCTTTTCTTGATCTAGCGTTTGTAAGTAGCGCATTAGAAGGTTCTGCTGTGTCCATCGAGAATGCATTTCAGACCACGAAGTGATTTCTTTGACTTGTCCCATCACTTACACGCGCAAATACAAAAACCCCTACCTACTTAGTTGAAAGGTTACACTCGTGCAAATGATGGTGCTGTACTACGTTTTGTAGAAACACAGTTTCATGAATTCGCCATTCGCCAAGCCAACAGATATAGAAGAACTCTGGACATGTTTTAAAAACATTATCAACTATTGCGAAGATACCTTCATTCCTAATAACAACAAAGGCGTCAACTGGGAGTACCCTTGTACAACTCTTGAAATAATTCAACTGAAAAGAAAAATAAAAAGACGGTGGAAAAGGGGAAATAAGAGCGACCCATCCGATCTTACGCGAGCCTTGAAACATAAAGTGTTCAAAGCAAAAGCTGATTTATTTAACACTACGTTACCTTCATTTATTACCCACAGTTCTCACAAATTTTGGTGCTACTTGTCAGACTAACCAGATTCAGTCTCGCAAATTAAGTATTCAGAGCAAGTTATTAGAAAACCAGAGCAAATCACTAATGAGAACAATGGTTTTTCTTAATCAGTTTTTACGAAACATGCCACTAACACGACACTATATCCCTATGCTGTGAAAGTACCCATGGAAGAATTATTTGTAAGTAAAGGAGGCATATTTCCTCTTCTACTCAAGCTTGATCTAAAAACATCCACTGGTCCCCAAAAAATTACTAACTCCTTTTTATTCCGATGTGCGCAATGGACATAAAAATATTTCTTTAAAATATACAAGTTATCTATGCACACTTCGGGATTACCGGACGACTGATGCAACGCTACAGTAGTCCCTATACACAAATCAGGCTCAAAGCTAGAAATAAGAAACTACCGCCCAGTGTCGCTTTCGAGCTCGTGCTGCAAAATATTCGAGCATGTAGTTTTTAAGGGCTTAATAACTCACCTAGAAACAAATTTATTTATTATCTGTTTATTTATTTATTTATTTATTTATTTATTTATTTATTACATACTGCCGGCCTCATATGGAGGCCTTAGGCAGGAGTGGGGCATAAATGCACAACACAGAACAAGCTCGAAGTATTGAATAGAGCCGCACAAACAAAAAAGAAATACATATCTCAGTATTCTGCAAATCAACGGCATTGGCAAAATATGCAAAAGCAACGAAAGGGAACCAATTGCACAGCAGTTAGTACTCGCATTGCACAAAATACTCACATTAAGTATTTACATAGCAGAAAACATTGCAGGTACTGACATTGTACTTACATAGCACAAAAAGTCAAAGGAAAAAAGAAAAAAGAAAACGAAAGTTTCACAATTTATTCAAATACAGCAAAGTGAAAGCGAATTCAAGTGAGTACATGACTTTACATGACGCTTCGAGCATAGTGGCGATTAAATAACTTCATTTCTGATCGCCTGCAGAAAAGAATCAATCTCGGAACGTTCTATCTCATAAGCAGATAAAGCGTTTCACTCGACGATTGTCCTAGGAAAGTAAGAGCACGTAAAAGTGTTGGTTCTGTACTTCAGCTCGGCCACCTTTTTTGCGTGAAGAGACCGAGTAAAGCAGCTAATGGTAGGTTTTATGAATGCGGATGAATCAACTCGTAGAATTACGTGACAGAACAAATAAAGTAACTTTAACCGGTCATGACAGTGTCTTGTTTCAAGTTTCTCTACTCCTGCTTTCTGTAGGAGGTGGGACGGGGATGTTTTCCAGCTATAACTGTTATAAATTGATCTAACACATTTTCTTTAGATACTTTCCAGCTTTAGTTTATTTGAGGCTGTCCAGGGATCCCAGGCCGCCGCTGCATACTACAATATGGGCCTAATACACGTCCTGTAGGCTAATAGTTTTATTTCTGTTGATGAGTGACCCAGCGTGCACCGAAGCGTGCACCCAGTCGTCTTTAGGCTTTTTTAGCAATAAATGTTACATGTTCATTCCAGCACAAATCGGAGGTTATCATTACTCCTAAATACGTATAGCTTTGCACTAAGCTTAAAGGTTGATTAATGATGAAGTAGGTAAATTCAAGTGGTTTATTCTTGCGGGTTATGGTCATTGCTACTGTTTTTTTACTATTAACTGTCATCTGCCATGTACAACACCAGTTTTCAATTGCACTTAATGCTTGATCTAGCAGGACCTGATCATTAGGGATAGATACCT